TAAGGTTTTTGCTTGGCTTTTTTTCCACTGTTTTTAGCTGCTGGAGCTATATGACTTTCTGTCTCTGCTATGTCCCGAATTTAAATTCATATCGACAGTGTCCCAAGTTTAAATTCATATGGACAGATACAGGCACAGTGAGAGTACTACCCTCAAATTCTTCAGAAAGATTGAATCTGAAGTATGTTTTAACAATCAAAAGTGTGGAGGAAAAAGGTCATTAGGCATATGTCATGCAAGAACACAGTGAAATATTTTGTCTTATCTCTGAGCATTTTCCTATTTCCTATTGTTGTCTTACGACTATTCTTACACTGACAGTAAAAAAATAATGTAACAGGTGTAGCTTATGCTAGCAGTTGAAAACATTGCTTTAAAACTGTATACATAAGATGTCAAGTTTTGATGGATTTAGAAGTTCACATAAACCATTCTGTCTGCTATAAGCAGTAAGAATTGCTGGCCTTTGTAAGAATTAGCTGGCGTGATGCAGTGGCTTAATGTGCTTGCATTTGTACAGAAAGAATAAAGCAGCAAAGAATACTTCATGTTTTTAATTCATTGTGCTTCAGTAAGTGCGTACTTCAGAACATTATACTGACTTGCTGTATTGTTACTTAAAATGGTGTGTGTTACTATGAATCTAGTCATCAGTGTGCTGGTTTTGGCTGGGGTAGCGTTAGTTTTCTCCACAGTAGCTGGTATGGGGCTATGTCTTGGATTTGTTCTGGAAACAGTTGTTTAGCTGCTGCTGAGCAGGGCTGACACAGAGTCGAGGCATTTTCTGCTGCTCACCCCTCCCCACCAGCGAGTGGGCTGGGGGTGCACAAAAAGCTGGGAGGGGACACGAGGGACATTTGGGGTGATGGAGTTTGTTTTCCCAAGTCACCGTTACTCGTGGTGGAGCCCTGCTTTCCTGGGGAAGGCTGAACACCTGCCTGCCCATGGGAAGAGATGATTGAATTCCTTGTTGTGCGTTTTTTTACCTGTGTGGCTTTTGCTTTACTTGTTAAACTGTCTTTATCTCAAGCCGTGAGTTTTCTCACTTTTACCTTTCCAGTTCTTTCTCCCATCCCACCGGGCAGGAGTGTGCAAGTGGTTGTGGAGGGCTTAGTTGCTGCTGACAAAGGTTAAACCACAACAGTGAAAAATGCAGCAGTGAAAGGAAAGTTTTTAACTCCCAATTTTATTTTTTTGTCTCACAAATTAAGTGGAAATTTGGTATAAATTACTAGTATGAAATCTCTTACTCTTACAGGCCTGATATCTGCAAATACAATCGTCTTTTTCTTTTAAATTTTTATTTTGTTTCTTTAAATAAACTGCAAGGCCAGTCTAATGTAGTTTGTGATTGTGTATTTGTACGTGTGTGTGTATATATATGTGTGTATATATAGAGAGAGTATGCATTATAGTCTTTTATTTCTTCCATAGTGTGAAATATTTTTAATGAAAATAAATAATTTTGATGAAGATATTTTTCAATATCTTCATCAATGACATAGTCAGTGGGATTGAATGCACCCTCAGCAGTTTGCAGATGACACCAAGCTGAGCGGTGTGATTGACATGCCAGAGGGCCGGGATGTCCTCCAGAGTGACCTGGACAAGTGGGCCCATGTGAACCTCATGGGGTTCAACAGGCCCAAGTGTAAGGTCCTGCACCTGGGTCGGGGCAGTCCTCATTATCAATACAGGCTCGGGGATGATGTGGTAGAGAGAGGGGCTGGAGGGTGTTGGTGGGGGAGAAGCTGGACGTGAGCCACCAATGCACACTCACAGCCCTGAAGGCCAGTCACATCCTGGGCTGCACCAGAAGCAGCGTGGCCAGCAGGCCCAGAGAGGTGATTCTGCCCCTCTGCTCTGCTCTGGGGACACCTCTCCTGGAGTGCTGCGTCCAGCTGTGGAGCCCTCAACACGAGAGGGACACGGACCTGTTGGAGCAGGTCCAGAGGAGGCCACAAAGATGATCAAAGGGCTGGAGCATCTCTCCTACGAGGACAGGCTGAGAGAGTTGGGATGGTTCAGCCTGGCTTCAGGGAGACCTTCTAGCAGCATTCCAGTACCTGAAGGGGGCTGTAGGAAACCTGGGGAGGGCCTGTTCACAAGGATGTGGAGCCACAGGACGAGGGGCAATGGTTTTAATCTAGAGCAGAGTAGATTTAGGTTAGAGAGTGGGAAGAAGTTCTTTTAAGATGAAGGTGGTGAGACACCGACACAGGTTGCCCAGAGAAGTGGTGGAGGCCTCATCCCTGGAGACATTCAAGGTCAGGTTTGATGGGGCTCTGAGAAAGCTGACCTAGTTAAAGATGTTCCTGCTCACTGCAGGGGGCTTGGACTAGATGGCCTTTAAAAGTCTTTTCCAGCCCAACGCATTCTATGGTTCTTTGAATTTTGGATGTATTTGGTGACTCCATAAGTGTGTGTTTGCTGGCTGAATATTTGTACCTTGGAAGTAGTTGAGAAATGCGTCGGATTTTATGAGGATGAACATTAAAATGTGGCACTTTGAGAAACTAAAAAAGCTTTTCTGAAATAAAATTATCAGGTAAGGTATTCTTGCAATTAGCCTATGTGCCTTCTCCTTGCTGCCACTCAAATGAATTACTTTTCCAGTGTTGTCTTTTAAGTAGTGGTGATAGCAGAGATTCTGGTGTTGAATATATCATGAGTCATTTGATTAAAATAGTGCTATTTAAGATTTATTCTCATCAAAACTGTTTAGAATCCTCATCATTCTGTCAGTCCTTTTCAAATTTCTGAAGAAACAATTTGTACCACGGTAAAGCTCTACGTTGCAAGTTCCTTACAGTAACAGTAATAGTTTCTAGAGTTTTCCTTACAGCTGTAGCACCAGGTAATTTTCTTCTATGCTGTATGTAAAGCTGTAGTAGGTGGTGTTAATATAGTGATAGTATTCTGCCACTTAGGATGCATTATTTTATGTTTTTATAACATGAAAATCAGAGACTTCTGTTTTAATTTAGCTTAACTCAATGTTCTCCAGCATTTCTTATAAAACTACTGTTTCCCAGAAGCCTGGAGAAAATTCTATTTAATACTCTTGACTGGACTTTTTGGAGAGGCACAAGAAGTTCAGTGTCAGGCTGCAGCTGAAAATTGGTAAAAACTAGGGTGGCTCTGTTAAGCTATTGAGAAATGCAAGCCGAGGTCATTCTCCACCTAGTTTTGTTGTGCATTAGTATGATGCAAAAGTGTTGTCTACATTTAGTGAGTAGTAACTCATTAAGGAGATGTAAATGCTCCTTTTGGAAGCAGGTTGTTTTTTGTGGTGTTTTTGGTTAGTTTTTTCTTCCCTGAACCAGTGTTCTCAGTAGTAGGGGTCTGTTTTTCAGAGGGTAAAAATAATGTTATTCAGCTGTTTTTCCAATGTTGGATGTTAAATTAAAATGGTGCATGTGTGTAGCAGTATTACTGTGGTTACAGTTTTGTGATATGTATGACCATGATTCAGATAGCTTGTGTGTGTACATCATGACACGATTTGTGGGCCATGCCTATTTTACAAATCTTTTTATGTCTGTGGTTATCCATTTCTTGATGACTAGCTGATGCCTGTTTAGCCTGACTTAAATATACTTGCGATCTCATATATTTATGTTATTTTCCCCCTTCAATACTTTCCTTGAAGCTCTAATATTCTACTTGCTTTTTGGGTTATCACTGGTGTTTTCTCATAAGGTTATCTGTGGTAACTCCAAGTATTATTTTTTCTCAGTTACAACACTATGTATCATTGATTATTATCATACTTCATGTGGATTGCTCATTTACCTATTTGAAATTTTATCTTACTTTTTTTTTTTAAACTACTTAATATTTTGATACTATGTTACAGTTTTCATCAGTGAGCTTTGTGTTCTGTTGCAGTGGATAATTTACTAAAACAAGATAATCAGCTTTCTCACTGTTCATGTATTACTGAATCAGGCAGAATGAATTCTTGTGGTGACCTTCTTTCACTGAACAAGCTCTGAGTATTTATTTTTAACCTTTTGGCGATTTGTCTGCTAATGTAGCTCTTCATTCATAAGAGGATCTCCCTTATTTCACCCATGATTGTTTAGAGTTTTTAATACCCTTTTGTGAGGCAACTTAAGTGCCTTGGAAATCTAAATAAACCAGCTAGATTCCTTTGAGCAGTTATTAGCAGGAATAATTATTATATACAGAAGTAACACTCATTGTTTCACATAATATCCTGTTTATATATATAATCTAATTCTAACCTTTACTCTTTCTGCAAGTTTTTGCCTAGTATAGGTATCACATTTACTTGTTTACAGTTCCCAGGAGCCCTTTTTATATAAAAAATGTCCACACTTGCCACTTATTACTCCAATATGCAGTATATTTTTAACCCAATATATATTCACAATACCTAGATTCAATAATTTAAAACTCTGGAAATACTACCCTTTGGTCCTAGTGACTATTTTTTTTTTTTTAACTGTTTGTGTTCAGAAAACTTTCTTTTTGAGATAATTCCTCTACCTTATTCTCATTTGAGTTCAGTATGGGAGCCTCAGAAAATTCCTGTGTACTAAATTCTGATGGGAGGAATTAATTTGCTTTTCTCTGGGTTTTTGGAACTTCAGTGCTATAAAGCCAGTAATGAATTTGTGCAAATATGGGCAGGCTATTTTGAGGACCAAAAAAAAAATAAAATAAAATCTCTCTTAATCTCTCTTACTCCTAACTCTTCCTAAATTCTAGGTATGGGAGTTTTAGGTTATTACAAAGGAAAAAACCATCTGCTTTTAAATACTGAAACTCTGCTGGGTCCCACACCCCCCCCCCCCCC